GAGCATGACGGCTCTGCCGTCTCCCCCAAAGCCTCAGTAAAAGCAGTGCCATTCTTTAAAGTGTTTGGTTTGATTTCCAGTTTCTCCCGGAGGCCACAAAGTTGACCAATTTTAATTAACGTTCTTTTCCTTCTGAGGATTCCTTTGCCTCCTTGCCCTTGCCCTTTTCCAACATCACTACTTGGCAGCAGAATGTGCATGTGGATTTAATGGAAGGGGAAAAGGGAGACAAAGCAGAACAGGTTTGGGTACGTCCTGGCTACTTTTCCTCAGTTGGATGGGAGGGTTGGCTGTCGGCTGCCTGTCTGGGCAGAGGGCTGGGCACATTTCTCGTCTCTGAGGGTCACACCCCCTCCCCTTTCTCCTGCCTTTCCTTCTGGTGAACCTGATGGGGTGGAAGTTCCTGGTGTACAGCATTGACCTGACCTGGGAACCCAGGGGAAGGATAGCCAGCTTTCCTCCCGGTCCAAAGCCCACACCAGGAAAGAGGACTCGGGGATCCAGGAAACACCAGGTCCTCAAGTTCAACTCAGACAACTCAGAGCACGTTCTGAGCGGCCACAGCATGGAAGACTGACCTTGACCGTGTTTGGGGGAGGGCCTGCCCAGCTGCACTTCTTCACAGACACAGTGAGCAGCTGGTCTACTGCTGAGCATATTCCCATTTTCTGGGACATTCCTGTAAGAGAAGGGAGGGAGCCTGCAGGGCGGGCGGTAGGTGGGAGTAGATGCCAACTGCTAATCATTGTCAATAAACAGAAGTAAGAGCAGTTTATGTCTGGTCTCTAACTTTCTTAATTTTCAGGACTATCACTGAGAATTTTTAAGCTGAACCTTAAGATGTACATATTTATTTATAAATTATATACATATTCCTCTATCAATTCATGTGTCACTAGACAGGGTCCAAGGAGGTCCCTCCAAGGAGGTAGTGGGACCTCAGTTTGGCCTGGGCAGGTTCTTGACTTAGGCTACTAAAAAGAATTTCAGGATGTGTTGAAAGTAAGTTACAAGTGAAGATTAATAAAGGATAGCAAAGGGATATGTCCCCCCCCCCGCCGCCCGCCTGCATAGCTGGCCTGGCTTCTGCCCCTGCTTACCAACACTGCCCACACATCGCTTGACACTTAAAGACTTGGCTCCCTACTGCCCTACACAGGAGCAGGCGAGGGCTGCTGGACGGGAGGGAGGACTTGGGGGATTTCGTGCAGGCAGTCGAGGGGCCCCTTCCTGGGCTCTCACATGGTCCAGGATTCTCTTCTCAAACACACTTGCATTCTTACTGCTCAGGATCCACCCCGGGCAGCTTCAGGGTCCATTCATTCTGGCCAGGGCTTGCTCTTGATGGGCTGCAGGTGGCTCACAACTAGGCTCTGCCCCGCGCCACCTAGAGATGGCTAGGAGACATGGCAGGCCCAGGCTGGCCCATGAGCACAGGCCTGTGGTCTCCTGCCTCACCACCCTCCCCGTCTGTTCTGCCTTCACCACCTGGAGGCATGGGGACCACGCTGGCTCAAGGAAGTAAGTAGGTGAAGCAAGATGGGCATAGGAAGCTGGGGGAGCAGAGGGCTGAGCCCGCCCTAGGAGGGGTGCTGGGGGCTCCTGCACAGGCCCAGCCCAGTGTTCCTGCACAAGGCTGTCCCCTGGAGACTCCCCACCATGCACCACCCTGCATCTCCCCTGGCCACGTCCCAGGTCCTGCTCACCCCAAACCCAGTCCCTGGCCTCCCCCCTACTCTGCTCCCCATTCCTCTGGTCCCCAGCCCTGTTCTGTGCCTCTAACCCTGCTTCCCCCCTCACCCCTCATGTCCCCACCTGGCCATGCCTGGCTCCAATGTTCTTATGTCCCCAACAAAGCAGCATGGGCATAGGTTTGGAGCCTGGACCATGTGCTGCTCTCTGCAAACTGGACAAAGCCTCAGCCCTTTTGTTGCTGTGCCCCTGGCTTGCCTCTGTGTCTGCCCCCACGCTGCCTGTGGCACCAGCCCCCCATACCCCCATGGGACTTCCATCCAGCTCCTTCCCAGGCCATGACCTCCAGGTCTCCAACTGCCCAGAGGTGCTGTTTGGGCTGGCGACCTACCCACCATTGCCATCCTGGTCTGCAGGGTGCCAGGGATGTACAGCAGGCTCTGTGTCCCCTGTCCATAGAGCTTGGACTGGCGTGGTCAGCAGAAACTGTTCTGGTTCTTTGGCTGTGCTCCCTGGGGAGTTAATGGACGGCTTCTTCCCTTCGTTCCAGGAGCAGCTGTGGGAAGTCTGGGGAGGGCGTTGTGCTACGGGGCATCCTGGTTACCGCTGGTGGCTCAAACAGGGGTCATGTCCCTCACAGACTCACTATCCACTCTGCTTCTGTCACACTTGCTCAGAGCTTTTGGTTGATAAAATGCCTTCAGATCCAATGTCTGAGGGGATTCCCACCGCCTCCCTGAGGGACACATGGGCAGGGTCCTCACCTCTCCTTCACGGTGGGAAACAGGCTGGCAGTATCAGGACATGACGGTGGCCACTGTAGTCATTAGTGGGGGACTAGAACACAGCTTGCAGATGGTCAGTCTGGGCCCCCTCGGTGACCTTGTGCAGTTCTGCCTGAGTCACCGGGGCCTGCTGGCTATGAGTCACACGGACTTGTGGCTCCCTGCACATTTGCCACGAGTGGGGGAGGGGACCCACGTGATGCAGAGGATCCTGGGACCCAGCTTGCATGGTGGAGGGAGGAACTGTACTGCTGACTCTATTTCCTACCAGCGGTGTGACCTTGGCTGAGGTCCAGCATGATGGAGGCAACAGTGAGTGGGCTCCAGACCCCATGCCCCTCTCACTAGCACTGGACTTTCCTGTCACTTAGTCTCATGAAGCTCCAACTTTCTCATCTTTAAAAATGGCCCTGGAGGCGACTACACTGCATCCTGAGCAAGATGCTGTGGTCTGCTGAGCTTTGAGACGCCAGACAGAGTCGTACAATGCACATTGTAAGGGGACTGAGGGGCTGGGGAGCCCTGGGCAGGAGTGGAAGAGTGAGGCCCATCCGAAAACGGAAGGGGTGAGC